CCTTGGAGAGGGATGTCAGGCTTTGGAGGGTGGAGGGACAGCGCAGGAGGGGAAGACCCTCTATGAGATGGATTGATTCAGTGACTGGGGTAATGGGAGTGGGTGTGTTGGAGACAGTGAGACTAGCACCAGATAGAGCAGGGTTTAGGGCTATTGTGCATAGGGTCGCTAAGAGTGGCAGGTGACTCAACGGCACAATAACAACAACAAATGTAGGGAGAAAGGGGAAATGCAACCAAAGTGGGACACCTGGCCCAACAATTAATAATCCATCATGTTACACCTTGAAGAAACAAAGATGAATAAGGCAGAATCACTGCCATGCAGAGATTCACAATTCAGTCCTGTATTCTTCCCACCACATTCTAACTAGCTTCATCTTTCTGCTGAGATTGTCTCTCTGGTTCCCTGTGATGGGCCACATCCGAAAGCTAGCCAAAGGATATCACATCCCTGAACCCATTACAAACCTTCAGGTCAAGATGTGTAACGTTTAGAGGTGAACACCACATACACAAGGATTTGAGTTGAATCTTTTCAGAACACAACCTAGGTCAAGAGCCTGTCAGCCTGCTATCTACCTTCCAGCTCAGTCAAACCTTGATTTACTGAAAAGGGTTTTTTGATCTTAGATGGAGACACATAGAGAGAATGATGTTCTTTCTAGTGGATGTTTAAAGATTCATTGCAGAGACATAAAATTTTACACACGTGAAGATTTCATGTAAAATGAAAAGCAACTAAAACGAATATGGCAGAATAGAAAAATGGAGAGAACTTGGACAGTGTTATTGTCCTAAACAAGAAATAACTGACTCTCAAAAAAAAAAAAAAAAAAAAAAAAAGAAATAACTGACTCTCGAATGACTTAACATAATAAATTCCCTCTTTTTCAATTTATTGTGAATCATTTAGGTTCCTTGCAGTTAAAGCAACCACAACCGATAAAAGTATAAGTTTTAATTCTTGTCGGAGAGCCATAAGAAAGCAAAAGAATTATATACATAGACACCTTTCTCAAAAGTTGCAGTCTTACATTTGCTCAAAATTTTTCTCATCTGAAATTGTTTTGAAACCCAAAGAAATGAGAAGTTAAGGAGTTCTTCCAGGTTACTACTTTGATTTCCTTCAAAGTTTATTATTATTCTTTTTTTTAATTATTATTTTGTGTGCGTGTACCATCAAATCAGATCTGACTGGTACAGGAGGATATTACGCCTCCTTCTCTGGCAGAGCATCTGGTGGATTCGAACCGTGTTCCTCTGGGATTGCAGTGCAACCTCTGGGATTGCAGTGCATCCTTCAAAGTTTAGAAACACAGCCATTGCTGTCACATTCTTTCTTGTGGCAGCCCATCTGATGGTGGCTGCAACAGTAGTCACCGAAGCAATTATCAACACTGCTTACCACAGACCTACTGCCTCTAACTTCCCATTCAATAAGAAAAGGGCTGGGGCTTGATCTGAATGCAGAATGTGCTAGAGTAACAACAGAACAAATCCAACTGCCAAACACACCAGTAAAGAGTTCTACTTGTAATGTTCCATTTCATCCTTCAGTGTAACATAATCTAAATAAAATATTGGGAACCTATTTCATTCTAGGAATTTCTAGGGTATATTCATAATTCTTCAATTCAGTCACATTTTTAATAGCTCTTGAAAACATTCACATTTTTCAATGCACTTATTTACCTCTTCTCTAAGACTGCATGCATAGATTCACTTGGCTTTTAAGAATAAGCTAGCATTTATTACCATTGCATTATGCTTTGTGTCTGTGACAAGTTAGATGTTAGTGGTCCCAGGTGATTTTTCTATCAACACTTACAGCAATGATGTTCATCCGAGCCATCTTCACAGTCTCTATCACCATCACACACCCAGACCTGAGGGATGCAGCGTCCTAAATCTTGACATTGGAAATGGTTTGCGTCACAAGCTAAAACAAACCAGAAAAAGAGTTCATCGTGGCAAACATGCAGCCTGATAAACATATCAACTCCTAATCCATATTTGAAGGCAAATAGTAAACAGCCCTCATATTAGGTAAGTCTGTGGACTAGGCAGAATTCATTATCAAATAATCTTATCAATGAGATATTGCAACAAAATGAAAAATCAAAGTATTAAAATGGAATAAAATAAACAGTTAGAACATGTATGTGTTACATGTAGTCAGAATCAACTCAGCCAGACCTCCAGCACGTTTTCAGAGGCTGTAAAGGGAAGAGACTGGCCGGCCAGCAGAGTAGCTGGTAAATAGGAGCTATCTTTGGATGGCAGTGTATCTCCTTTCCACTAAGTCACCAGGGCTTCCTTAAAATGCATACATATACAAATCAGTGGCAGAAATATCGAATCCACTATGGACTGTCAAAAGAACAAACAAATCTGTTTTGGAAGAAGTGCAAGCAGAATGTTCCTAAGAAGTGCGGATGTTGTAACTGCATCTCACAGATTTCGGGCATGTTCAAAAGGGCAGCCAGTTCCTGGAGCATAGTGTACTTGTTAAATTAGAAGATCAACAACAACAAAAAAAGAGGAAAGACCCTTAACAAGATGGGTTGACACAAAGGTCAGCAACAATAGGCAGCAATTTTGAGCAATAGGATCAGGCAGTGTTCTCCTACAAATGGGATCCCTCTGTTGCACCCCCGAGTTTGATTGATAAATTGGAGCCAACTCAATGCCCCCTACCAGCAGCTCCCTACTTACTGCAGTTAACTTCATCCGAGCCGTCTAAACAGTCTCTGGTTCCATCACACATCCAGTCAATATGTATACAGTGTCCATTTCCACAGCGAAATTGCTGACTGTTACATGCTGTAATATAACAAGCAACAGTTAAAAAAGGAATGCTACATAGAAATTTTGCTGAAGAAGAAATATATATTTTTAAGAAACATGAAATAATCTAACTACAATTACTAATCAAGTTTTTTTTTACTAATTAAAATGCTACTTTTTATAACAGTATTCTTATACAGTATCAGCAGCCAGAAAACAAACAAACAAAAAATTAATTTCACTATTTCATTGGGAAAGTCTACTGTCAGGGACCTCTCCAGAGTACTGAAAAGCAACCACCTCGGTCTGGAAACTAAGGTGCCCCTGATCCTGGCCATAGTCTTCACAATTATTTTCTATGTTCAAGAAAGCTGGACAAAAAAAAAAGAAAGAAAGCTGGACAATGACTAGGGATGATAGAAAGAGAATTGAAGCTTTTGAGCCGTGGCGCTGGAGAAGAATACTGAATATACCACTGACTACCAGGAAAACAAACAGATTCATCCTGGGAAGGGTGAAGCCAGGCTGCTCTTGGAGACTAGGATTCTGAAGCTTTGTCTGATATACTTTGGGCATGTTGCAAGGACGGACCAGTCCTTGGAGAGGGACACCATGCTTGGAAAGGTGGAGGGACAACGCAAGAGAGGAAGTCCCCTAATAAGATGGATTGATTCAGTGACTGGGGTAATGAGTTTAGGTGTGTCAGAGACAATAAGGTTGGCACAGCAGGTTTCAGGGCTATTGTTCACAGGGTGGCTATGAGTCACAAGCTATTCGAAAGCATATAACAATAACATACTGTATTTATCTTTCTGTGACTGAAATCTCAGTCAACATAATATCCTCTAGACTCATTCACATTGTGTAGTGTTTCACAAGTTTGGCATTGTTTTTTTAATGTTGTGTAAATACTTCATTGTGTGAGTGTACCAGTTTCTCTGTTTGTTTGTTAATGGACACTTGATCTGAGTAGCTAGCTGGTAGAAGCAGTCTAGGTTGAGGAATGTGACATGATGACAGAAGATCAGGAAGTAGGCAGGTATCAATGAGCAGATGAGTCAACTCAAGATCCTTTTTTCTAATTATTTTTTCTAAGAAATCAAAGAACTATAAATTGATTTATGTATAAAGATTTCATCACAGCATTGTTTACAATACTAGAAATCACAAACCTCATAGTCAACAAATTAGCATGAGATGGATAAAAATTTACCTGTAATAGGACCAGACATAAAGGGAAATCATAGAAAAAAACTGATTACAGTGATTGTCTCTATAGGATGAATAAATTTCTTTTCTTGACTGTTTTATTCTATTTGATTTTTTTTATTGTAGTTGAGTGAAAGCTTACAAGCAAATTAATTTTCATTCGACATGCATACACTGTTATTAACATTCCTTTCCGTACATCAAAACCACACGCTTCCCATTTCCTCCTGTAATTCTGATTTCCATTAATCCCTCTCTACCTTTCCTTTCTTTAGTGATTTTGTGCTAATCATCCCCTTTGCCTTCATCTCTCTTAATATGTTTCTATTATCTGTTTCATCGTTGTCACTCCCCTCCCTCCCTTTCCTGGTAAGCACCAGATATTGGTAAGTGACCTTAATTACATATATGAATTTAAAACTCTTTATTCTAGATACAGATCGTAAAATGTCATCTCCGCTAACAAAAAATACTATAACAAGAAAGGGGGGAGGGGTAAATCCCTGAAATGTCCACAGCATACAAACCTGACAGCAAAGGCTGACACACCCCCTAAATCCTCCTGCTGATGCTAGAATAGAGTTTAAACAAGTTCATTTCACTCAATGAATATATCCAGAAATTCCCTGAGGGGAAAAGACTAATTTGGCACTTGGAAATCCTCTGAGCTTCCCTAAATAACTGGCCACTGACCTCCCTCTGCTTTATGCGCCAAATAAGAATTTATTTTATTTTTTTTTAAAGAAAGCAGCCAACACCAACACAACTAGGAGAAGACTCAACAATCATTCTTTCACAAGTCTGAGGTGGCAGGGGAATAATTTCCAGGGTTAGAGGGATAATTGTATTTTCTCCACCATGCTAAATTACTTATTTCAATTTTTTGCTAATGAAACTCAAGGTAAATAAACAGGTCAATTACTTGCTCCTAACATAAATATGCAATGTGCTATCCTGATTTATGTAAATGCAGGCATATCGACAACATAACATAAACACAGTTAAGTGATCTATTCATAGGGGATATACGCTACTTTGTTCATGGAATGTTCAAATCTGATTGTCTGGTAGTGACATCCTGATTTATAATGTATCCTGCAAGTGGTCAGAAACTTCCCTTGGCTAAATGGTGGTACCGAGTGGTACAGGAGTACGTGCACCCAAATACCTTCTATGGACTAATGCAGGATGGTGGTTGGTGGTACGGGTCTGGGGTTGGTGGTGCAGGTCTCTTATCAACTACCTTTAAAACACAACAACCTCCCTTGCAAAAATGCCCCTAAGGAATGTACAAATTCACTCTGGAATCCCAGAACTTCTCATTGGATTTTGTTCTCCAAAGCAATATTTCCACAGGAGATTAGGGGCTTTGGAGGTTTAGCCATTAACACAACATATATTAAATCACTTTTTATCAATTGGGTCTATTGTGAGTAATCCAGTGATACATGTGTAAATTCACTCTATATATCTCCCATAGTATCTAAGAACTTTTGATTGAAAAATTCTAATAACCTAAAGATTAATTCATGTACAGATAGCTTGATATTACAAGCAAGGGGGGAAGCGAAAATACAGTGAAGAAAACAGAAAAAAAGTATATTGAAAGCACAATATATTACCTAGTTTTGAAAAAAAAAATATATATATAAAGAATGCATTCCTTAGGGAAATTTTATTACAAGGCAAAATCTGAGCCGGGCTTTTTGGTTTTTTGCTAAAAATGTAACATGAAAAGAACATAATATAGTTCTTTTATTTAAGTACTTCAAAGCCAAGTATTTTAAATTACGCATATATACATATACTTGTGGGGAACATTTTATAACTAAATAACTCACAATTGATTACCAAAATCATTCCGTTATCTAAGGTAATATATAAAATAAAATTTATTCCACTTATCAACAAACCAGCCATTCTTCATTTGTCAAATTCACCTTTTCAATAACCACATCCACACCTGTTATGACTCAAATGACAGTTGTTTGGAAATATCTCTCCAGAAAAAACAAACTGATACTTTCTCATTGTTGGGTGGCCTCCCAGCAATCACCCACAATGTCCTCTGTGTCAAACGCCTGCCATGCATCCTGTTATAAAGGAAATTTGTGTTGTTTAAAAACAGGTGGTTGGTTAAAAGGCCTGCATCAGGTCTGACAACTACTGCAGGTGCCTTGATTCATGGGGTCTGAATCAAGAGTGTTTTTCGGAGTGTTTTATTTTAAATAAATAGCATATTCTCACAACCTCTCCAAAAGTTAGATATTATCTGAAGGGGGAAGGAAAGGAAGGAGGATAAATGGTTTAGTACATTGGAGTCAATCATTAAGTTTAATGGGTAGATATTCTATATAATATTCAAATTTTTTTAATAAACTATCTCCAAGCACAATCCTGCTTCAGCTAAAAGGCAACTTTTCCTACAAGTAAAAAAAAACCAAACAAAAACAACACTACAATAAAAAAAACCACCACAACTGTAAGACTAGATGTCACTATTAGCATTTTTATACATCTTTTTAAAATATTTTTTTTATTTTACCATTTGTGTGTGTGTACCATCAAATCAGATCTGACTGGTACAGGAGGAGCTTGTCCCTCCTTCCCCGGCACAGCATCTGGTGGATTCGAACCGTTTGCCTCTGGGATTGCAGTGCAGCTTCCTGCCACTAGGCCACCAGAGCTCCCCTACTATTAGCATTTTACAGATAAAGAAACTGAGGCTCAGAGCAGCTCAGTAACTCATCGAAGGTCACAGAGCAATTATGTAAAGTAAGGGTTACCTACTAGTCTAGTTCAGCATCTATGCTATACTGATAACTATGCTAACCCTTTGATCAAAGAAAAACTGTGTTCCATCTGACTTAAAAATAAATGTGAAAATTGTATTTCTTCCAAAGTTGCTACCAGTATGAACTGACTTAACTGTCCATTCTGCTCATAAACATTAGTTGATGGGGAAAAAAAATCAGTCTCCTCCCATATGATTAGCTGCCTCTGAAAACCACCCAGAGGGTCAGTTATGGATTGGTTCTGACTGGACAGTACACAACAACAACATATCACAATTGATCCTGCACTATACTCTTGGACTCAGTAAATTTTGCAACAATCGAGAGCAATCTAGGGGAACTGAGTTTCGACTTCTTCAGGCAAACTTCTATCAAATCAGTGGTTAAACTTGTTTTCCAACCTTAGAGATCCAAGGTTGGAGCAATTCTTTCTTCATAAGTAGCTATATCCCATGATCCTGCTCTACTCTGCTACGTGTTAGAGTAAGAATGCATTAAGATAAGATAGTGGGAGGAAAGGTCCTTGTGTTGGTTTTCCCGTTCAGGGAACCGCACAGGAATGAGGACACAGTCCTGAGCACGTGCAATACACATCGGTCATCTGACGACAAGTACTCTTTGTAAAATCTACTCTCTATATAATTGCTATACATCAAGATAATGAGTGTAACTACAACAGAAGCTCATGATCTTAAATCTATAGAAAGAAAATAAAATCTAGAATTTAAAATAAAACAACCAGAATTCAAGAAAAAAGGAAGTTTCTCTTTTTGTTTTTCTCTCCCAAGAATTCTCTGCCTAGATGTTGCTACAGGAACAAACTCATAACTGACCATCCAGTTGGTTTTCAGAGACAGTAAGTAAATCACATGAGAGAAGAATTCAGTTGGTGGATGTGAATATTGTGACTTTGGGTTGGTAGCCCAACTCCTTGCCACTAAGACACCAGAGCTCTGCCTAGTAGAGAAAGGTAATCCCTAAACAGTGGAACATTGTCCAAAGCTAATAGAATATGGTCATTTACATGGCAAATTCCAGTTTCCTGCCAGATCCTCGTAGCATCTGCTGATTCATCCAGACACTCATTCTAAACAAGATACACGTGCTCTTTTTAAAAAAATACGGACCCTTCTGGTGGTCTTTGTGGTAAGAAGTTGTACTGCATCCCAAAGGCATGCAGTTTGAAACCATTTAGCTGCTCTGTGAGATAACAACAGGCAAGCTCTTCTCATGTGATATATTGCCTCTGAAAACCTGCTGTGTCTCACCCAGCAGCACCCAACAACAACGTTAACAAACAGTCCTCCCTTCTCTAAACTCAAAGAGACTAAATTTAAAGATAATTCCTTAAATCCTCCTTTTTCCCCCCTACTTAATTTTTCCTGTACATCTATATTTCTTATTCTCTTTGTCTAGGAATAAACAATTCTAACGAATAAAGTGGATGTTAGTTGACTTTTTGTCTCCTACACTTTACTCTCTTACTGTTGAAAACAAGATCAATCACTTTTCAAGATTTAGGATCATTAGCTTATTTCCAGAACTTGCGCTAGTGATGAGAGTAAGAGTAAAGTATTGTGCGGTAGGCCCTGCCCTGGCAAACATGAACTAAAGGAACTGAAAACTAAGTAGATGGAACTGAATGAAATAAGATGTGCACAGCAAACCAACCTGATACCCTCTTCCTTGTGATATTTTAGCTTTCAGGTTTTTTTTAAAAGATTGGTAAATGGGATTATTTTTCCAATCACTTTCTAAACCACTGAGTTGACTGGTTTTTCCAAATCATTGTTTCAGAACTTTGGCATTTTGTCAAAGCAAATCAACATTAAGAGCATATTACAGAAGTCAAGGACTTTGGAGCAAACTCTAAAGCAACTGATGCATGACTATGTAGACACATCATATGGGGAGGGGGAAGACAATGACAAAGTAAATAAAGTCACAATCTCAATCTGGATGCTCAAATTAAATCTGGACTATAACAGAATTGGAGGAAGGCTCATTGACAACCCTAATTATATATAGAGAGATAACATAACCCTGCTTGCTGAAAGTGAAAAGGTCTTGAAATGCTTGCTGATAAAGATCAAATTCTACAGCCTTCATCATAGATTATGCCTCAGCAGAACAGAAGGGAAAGCCTCTTTCTTAATTGGGCCATCGAGCAATATCATGATTAATGAAGAAAAGATTGAAGTTGTCAAGGATTTCATCTTACTTGGAAC